GATTAAGACAAGCCCTGCAAGCACCAGATCAACAAATGGCATGATCTCAGCCTTTGTTTAATGCTGTTCTTTTTTTGTGTCCACTCATACAAATTTGTCCTATTTCTTTCTTTTCTCTGAAATGTGGAATCTGAGCACAAATGTATTTATGGATAAAATAGTGTTGGCTGGAGTGGTGCCATCTAAATGATCTGGTTTGGAATGTGGCCCCTCATGGCACTAAAGGTCACACTTGTTTTAGGTAAAATAATTTTGTCTCGGCTGCCCCAGCATTACTTGTATAACTATATCTGCATATCAACATGTACTAGCAATGGACGAAACATTTTACATATCATTTCATTTATTCCTCAAGAGGACCCTTTATCATGGACACTATTGTAACCATTTTTAAATGAGGTGTTCAGGACACAGACTATGTAAGAAACTTGCCCAGATTCTCATAGATGGTAGCTGGTGGGGACAGGACTGTGGTGACCCTCACAGTGGGTGCTCTTGGTGATCAGCCTTGAATTGCCTCTGGGACTGCTGCTTCGTCAGGGCTGGATCAGATATAGTCTCTCGCCTTGTTTTTCCCTCCCTTTCATAGGTCTGTCATTTTGATACCTCCAGGACAGGAAGATTTTTTGTCATCTCAATTCTTAGCCTATCTGTGATGACCATGATCTCATCCTATAAAAATTTCAGTTTTCCAAGGCAGACTTTCTCACTATCTTTTCACTCAGTTTTTCAGATCAAGTGAAATCCAGCCACCACCGCCTCAGCCGCCACCAGATCTTCTGTCCCTAGCCTGCTCTTCACCTCGTTCCTCCTCAGATCTTTGAGCTGTATTTCCAGTATCCAGTTATGCTTAGTAACTTAGGCAGAGGAGTAAGGGTAGAAGGAGGGGACGAGAGACAGCAACAGTCAACAGCTGTCTGTTCTGCTTGACAGCATGACAACCAGCCTCTGTGTAACTGGGTCGAATGATCAAGGATTGTGCCTAGTGACACTTTCTAGGCTCTTTCTAGGCATCTATTATTTTATAGATTGTTGGTGTATTTTGTAGCTATGTTTTCCATTTTGTTCATCTGCTACATTGGAACATCATCTTAACAGTGATTTCAGAAAATTCTCTAATTTCTAGTGTCCCAATGTAGGTGAGGTATTTTCATCTGCATATGTGTGTATGGACTGGATCCAAGGGCAAAATTTTGTTGAGACTTGATGCTTTTATGTATCTTTTTGTATATGTAAAATGTTTGAATAAGTAGTTTAATTGCATTATAAATCTACCTAGATGTTAATTACATTTTTCTTTGGAATTCAGGTGACTTTTAACATAGGAACTTGTTATGTTAATAGCTATCCCCTTAAGAACTCATTTTTTTTTTTTTTATGAAAAAGGGGAAAAGAGTTTCAAAAAAAGAAGGAAGAGGATAAAAACCTATTTCAGGAAAGCATTTTAGAAAAGTTAGGGCTCTATTTGTGCTTCTCTAATAACCTACAAAATTGCAATTTAATCTTCAGTTTACTTGGAGAGTATGCAATTATTTTTTAATAAAACTGTCTTTTTAATCAGATTCCTATGCCTTTAGTTATGTATTATTTATCTTCAATTATTAAGACTATCCAATGCTCAATATACTTTTTTCCCTTGTCTGATTATAAAAATAAACATAAGTAGAACTTAAGGCACTGGAAACAAATGTTCAGGAGGGACCATGGATGGAAATAAATAGAAGTTTGAGTCCTTCTGAGCAGGAATTGGCCTGATTTCAACCTGCTATTGAGAGAATAGCCGCAAGCTCAGAGAGCTTGTGTTGTTTGGCTCTACAATCACCAGTAACTTGGAAACAGTGATTTCTATTCTTTTCGAGTCTTTGGATATTTTTAAGGCATTTTACTGATCCAAATCTTCTTATTTTGTTGAATTCCCTCTGACCTAGATTTTTTATTTAAATTAGTATCTTTTTAACTTTTGGGGAATCTCAGATCTCTTTGATAATCTAGAAGGCACTGGTTCCTTTGCCCAGGAAAATGCACACACATATAGACATACCAAATCTAGCAAAAATTACAAAGAATTCAAGGATTGTTGAAGCTATTTGAAGACCCATTAAAGTGTTTTAGAGAGCTTTATGGCAAGCAATGTATTTTCACCAAGGAAAATGATAACATTCTCCTTAGACAAAAACCTCTTTAAGAATGTTGAGTTATATCAAGTGCTTTATGGACAAAAATGTAGAGTAAATGAGTGAACAAAAGTAATAAATAAGTCAGGCACATGTATAAAATTCTCCAGATACAGATATCTGCACATAAAAAGGTATACCCTGTCAATATTTCTTCATCAGCCTGTGCTAAACTAGCCATGAGGCTGAGGCAGTATATCAATCTGCATTTTACTAAACTAAACTAAATAATATGTAATTTTATCTAATTTGAATATCCTTGTGATAGCGTTATCTATTCTTAGGTTTTTAAAATGATAAATCAAGCATTTTTGTAGTCTTTCAATTGATTTTTACTTAGGAAACATAGGGTTTGTTTTAATGGTGTTCCCTGTAGCATATTCAACATCAAAATTCAGAAAGTGTTCTTGATGTTTAATCCCATATTTCTGTTTAATACCTTTATTTATTAGCTTTCATAGTTGTCACTAAACATTTCAAATCACTTTCAAATTTCTTGGTCTATAATTACATTTCTCACCCAAACTGAGAGATGTCGGTAGCTTTACATATTTTACAAAAATGCATTAAGAACCTTACATTCCTTTGAGACAAGATATCATATGTGTCAAAATATAATTCTCAAAATGTTAAACATAATTCTCATATAAATAGGTCCTGAGAACATGTCAAGATTTCATTTAGCTCAACCAGCAGGATGACAAAGCCAGTTCAAAAAAAGAGGAATATCTATCTATCTATCTGTATATGCATAGCTGTATAAATTCTATATTCATAAATATATAAACTTTGGTAGCAGTCCTGAGTGAGATCAATTTTTCCTCTATCACTTATTTAATTTGCAAAATCCATTCATATTAAAAACTCCACACGCCCAAGATTTCTAGTAATCAGATGGATCCCTTTCGTCCTGGAGGTCCACGGTTCTTTAGCACACCATCAGCCTCGCCCAAAAGGCTGTTAAAACAGATTTCTGGGTTCCACTCATAGGCCTTCTGTAGACCTGGGGTCTGTGGAATTTGTATTTCTAAGAAGTTTCTAGTGAGGCTGCTGTTCCAGGGTGCACACTTTGAGAACCATAGATTTAAGCACAGGCTTTGCTTGAGGATCAGGGAGACAGCAGGGGAGTGTTGATGAAGCCCCAAGAAGTCAATGCAACCTCTAATTGGCTCTCGTCTTTCTTCTCCTGTGTTATCCCCTTTCCTTCTCCTGTCCCCTCGGTACACACAAGACCATCCACACGGTGGCTTCAGCTGCCAAGTCCATGTCCCTGCCAGCACAGCTGCAGTCCCAGGATGCTCCCTACATTTGAACATTTCAAATCCCTAATAAGGGTCAAACTCCCAGCATCTTTCCCACAGAGACCTGGCCTCCCTCGTTTGTCCCGTTTCTGTCAGCGATTTTAACTTCACTGCAAGCCAAGTTGGAAGGCTCCAAATCATGTGTTTTAAACTAGAAAGTGCTTTTTTCAAAAAAAAAATTTTTTTTCCAGTTATCATGGGCAGAAATTCTCTGAGTAGGGAAAAATTTTAATTTTTTATAAGTTTGGAATCCCAGAGAGATAATCCTTTCAGTTTTCAAGCTGCCAGTTCTCTGGTCTGTTCTGTCTGAATTCCTTATAAGAAATAAAAGCTTCTGAGACTCCAAGGAAGTTTGGGGACTGAGAGTGGTATTATATCAGGGAAGCAAGCTGGTCCTGGAAATCTTTTGGAAGAACAGCTTTCCAAGACTGGCAGGTCAGAAGCTAGGTTTCTAGAGGTCAGGGTTGAACTAGGTAGAGGCAGGAGATAGGCAGGGTTTGGAGGGGCAAGGAAGGAGAGATTAAGAAAATCATCACAAGATGTAACAGGATCAGCTGAGAAGAATTTATTTTTGGGAAGGAAGAACCATTGAAATCAGAAGACTTAGTGAGGTCAAGGGTGAGGGAGTGGATTTTATTATTGACATAGAAATCGAGTTTGAAAGGAGGAAGGAGGATAGTGCAGAGACTACATTAAGTGCTTAGCTTTGGAGAGGAGGGAAATATTTTTATCTAAGCCTAGAGGGAAGAAATAGTGCTTATATCAGTAGCCTAGACGTTAAATATTCAAGGGATAATTGGAGGTCTTAAAATTGAGAAACCTAGAAAATGCTAAGGCAGATGAGCACCTTGCTGGCAGGGTCAGTGTTGGACAGATGATTTTGTCCTGGGCCAGCCTGGCACAACTTCTTTTCCTCCTTGTCTACTTCTCTGTAATCAGGTTCAGGGGAGAAGGCCGAGGATAGGGATGACCTCAACATATGAGATTGATTTTCTTTGTTTCCATGCAGATGAATGACCACGTATAGTAGATGCTACTCTAGTTCCAAGGAGATTTGAAACTGCACGTGGATGCAGTTGTTTTTCTTACATACTATAAACCTCATCTGGCCAGTAGATAAAGTTCGATTCCTTCCCATTTTGTGCCAATGCCTCAGACTTATGTGGAGAACCCAGTGCTGGTGACAGCCAGCTGCCACCAGCTCCTTGATTACCCAAAGGGAATGAAAGAAATTTCCAAAAGGAGATAAACATCCTGAGTTAGATCATTTATGAATGTTTCATGGAATAATAGAAAACCTCCTGGAAATTTTACAAGGGAGTTGTTTTCAAAAGTTCTGTGAAATAATTGCACAGCAGAACCCCTGTTTCTGTTTGTAGTAAAAAATGCGATTTGGTCTTCTCACCAGTGCTTTTTTTAGGAAAGAATGCGTGCTCCTGGAGGTAGGTGCTGTGGCAGAGTGTCGTGAGGGCAGCCCCTCGGGTTACTCACATGGAGCCACTGGAATGTGTGTGTCTCTTTCCAGGACCGAGAAACCTCCTTCCCCAGGGCTCTCTCAGCTCAGAGGCTCTCCCCTCGCTGGTGCTTCCTAGATGGTGAGTGTTTCTGCATTTCTTGGGGGGGAGGGCAGGGGAAGGGTGTTGGGAGAGTTGCAGAGCACGGCATCCATTGATAGAGTGGACTCTAGTTTTCCAAAAGATCATTCAGAAGCCTGTGTTACTCCACGTGATTGGTATTTGCATCTCAAACCGTGTGGACTTAACTGAGGTTGCAATACCCTTTCCTGAAGTCATTTCCCCCCAAACAAGTTGCTTACTGTGTTTCTCCAAAAATAAGACCTACCCATGAAATAAGCCATAGCAGGATTTCTAAGCATTTGGGCAATATAAGCCCTACCCCGAAAATAAGACCTAGGGATGGGCGTGGCTACGTAGCGTATCTGCACAACCCATGCATTTCCTCATGAAGCGGGAAAGAAGACGAGCAGCCCTTCTCATCTGCCCCATGAGAGCTCTATTGCTCGACATGAGAGATTGAGGACAATGGTTCTAAAGGAAATAGAGTCGCAAGAAATTCAGGATAGAATTTGGGGTTTGGAGAGTTATGATGATGTTCCAGAAGAAGATGACTTAACTATATTTGAATAAATGTAGATTGTTGTACTGTACTTAAAAAAAAATAACACAACCCCTGAAAATAAGCCCTAGGGCATATTCTTGAGGAAAAATAAATATAAGACCCTGTCTTATTTTTGGGTAATTTTCACAGTAACTCTGGCTGAACTCAGCATCACCTTGCTGCAGCTGAAGTTTCCCTTTCATCCATCCCCTTTCCCTAAACCTTGTTGAATGCCTACCTTAAATTAATTCAGGCCTATCGCCGGATTCTATAACTTTCATAAGACCATCATTTCAGTATGATACATATTTTTGTAAAAAGAGTAGAAAATTTCAGTTGCATTCAGATCTACTCTGCCAAGCATGATGCCAAGCATGCCTAGTAAGTTATCTTACGACCTTTGAATGAGTCCATTTTCTATCTCAAGCATCTCTCATTGTCCTAGATACTGTCCAATATGGTGTTTGTACCCAATCTCCCGCACTTCAATACATTCTCACCTCTGTATATTCTTGTTTATATACTACCCAGTGTATTGTCTACCTAGTCTGTCTCTCGTGTATGTGCAGACATGGTTTTCATTGCAGACCTCCTTTCTTGCTTACCCGTGTGTACATCTCAGAGGACATAAATGTGGATAAGAGTGTGACAGGATGTGCGAGTATGGGGACAGTATTATGTACCTGCATGAGATGGAACCCACATTAATGTAGGTTTTCATTCACGGCTCATCAGCCGCCTCTGAAGATGTTCCTCCAGCTTCTTTATTATTCCAATATCTATGAGAAACAATCATCTGTTGTTCCCGAATTCACAGAGGAACAAATTACATTTAAGACAATTGTGAAAATATTTGTATGTTGTTATGTTCTATATAAAGTGTTAGATGCAATTACAATATAGATAATAGTTTAACCCAGATATTAGTTTTACTCTATAAAGAGTTTCATTAAAACCCTCTAAAAGGAGACTGTGGTCATAGCCAAAAAGAACAAAGTAGCATAAGTCCCTCTGAGGAAGATGTTACTCTATTCTCATCTTGTAGAGAGCAGGGACCATAACTGGCTTACCTCTCAGCTCAGTTCCCTATGGAGAGAAGCTACTCATTAAATATTTGTGATATTCAAATGATTAGTTGCATTTTGAGTTTTTTTCTCTCATGCTGTAATATTTTTGTAAAAAATAATCTATTTGTAATATTTAGGCTCAGATTAAAGTGAGGAGGAAGATAATTTTAATATTAAGAATATCAAAATAATTTCTAGAGATATGAAATTTATAATTTAGATTATTTTCTCAAACTACAGATGTAGCCAAATCCCCCTTTAAAGATGCTTGAAAGTAATTTTTTTTCTGCTGTTTTGTTTCCCCTCAGATGTGGCTCAAGGGATGCAGTTTGAAAGTGAAATGATTCATTTGAGACCAGATGTGGTCCCTGGCCTAAATCTTCAAGCTGTTTTCTAAAATGGGAGCCCGTCTAGCTACAGTTTTTTTTCTAGCTTTATTTACTTAATAAATATCGAGTCCCAGCTCTGTTTAAGATGGAAAAGAGACCTTTAAAGAGGGAGGCCTCTGACTTAGTCTCATAGCACCTGTGAAGACAGTCTCTAGATGTTTAAACAAAGTATAAATGTGCATAGAGGTAGGAGCAATGAATTTGGTCGGGGCTAGGGAGCTTGGGACTGAAGCAGGTTTCACAGTGGCAAAAGCATTTAACTTGGTGTTTAAAAGACAAGTAAGATTTAGATGGCGGTGGCAATGGGGAAGGACTTTCTAAGCATTGGAATAGCAATGGCAGAGGCGTAGAAGTGCTGAGATTTTCTTAATAGATTTGGGGACTGACCATTGGTCTAGCATGACTGGAAGGCAAGGGTTTTGACTGGCACAGTGGAAGAGAAGGATGTAACTTGATGCTAGATCACAGAACACTCTGACTGCCATGTGCTTTCTTCCTCCCCCTCTAGCAACTTCTGCTGATCGCTTTTATCGAATAGACAGATCTCAGGTAAGTTTTCTTCAACCTGCTTATGGCATTGAAAAGTTCCCAAGCCAGTATACTTTACTAATCTTATTACATTTTTCTAACAAAAACACTGAAGCATGTACAAATTTCGGAATGGTATAACCTAGGTTCTGAACCTTTTATTTGTCTTACTGTATTTTATGGTTTATGGACTCGAGATGACTTGGCTTGACCTTGCAAATGAGTACAGAAAATAATTTAGCTTGTGGACATTATCACCAACCTGCACTGCAAATTTTCATTAGCACTGGTCCTTTTACTCCTTTTTAGCCAAATTTTATGCCTTTTTAAGTTCATTTCTGGTTAGTAAGTTTGAGACCCCAAGTGTATATCTGGGCTGCTTAGTTTCAGTTCATCAATCCCCAGAGTTCAGTAATGAGGAAAAAAATGCTTCTGCCCAAGGTTAACATGTCTTTCCACTGTCCCAATTTTCCTGGCAAAAAATGTACAGCTTTGAACCCAGTGATAAACCAAGTTGTTAACCATGCCACTTAGCTTTGACCAGACACTGGGTACGGAAGTGCAGGCTGTCATACACTCATGCTGGACCAAGTGGCAAGTGGGGTGTCACTTCTCTGCTAGTATTTGGGAAGAGGAAGAGATGAGGCCATTTCTATCTATATCTAATTAAGATCCTGGTCAACGGGGAACCAAGAGGATTCATCTCTCCCTGTTGCCCACTGCCTACTACTGGTTTGCTTCAGAGAGGAATGCCAGCTGATCAGGCTTCTGACAATATACTGTGATCATTTCACATGTCACAGAATTGCATTATTCCTCAAGACCAAGAGCGCTTTGTTTTGTTATTTGTTAGATGATAGATTTAAGCACCCTGTCAGTCATCTTACAGACTTATTTTTCTTCCTTAGGAACATTTGCACTTTGTGATGGAGATTTCCCAAGATGAGATTTTTATTCTGGACCCCGATATGGTGGTGTCACAGGCGGCGGGGACGCCTCCAGGAATGCCCGATCTGGTAGTGGAGCAAGCCTCGGGGTGAGTGTGCTTCTCTGTTGGTGCAGGTATAAGGCTGGCCACAGGTGACTTCTATGCCTGACTTGGCTTTGGACTTGACATTCTTTTTTTTTTTTTTCCCATCCTGCTGAAACAAGTCTCTTGACTGTCCTCTTTCCTTTTCTTTTTTAAAATTTAGTATATTATGAGGTTACAAATGCTTTGGTCATATAAATTGCCTTTGCACCCCCTGTGTCAAAGCTACAAGTGTGCCTGTCCCGCAGACAGTGCACCCATTAGGTGTGCATTTACCTATCTCTTCCTTCCCCTTCCCACCTGCCTGATCCCTGATGAATGTTACTTCCATATATGCACATAAGTGTTGATCAAATAGTACTAATTTAATAGTGAGTACGTGTGGTGCTTGTTTTTCCATTCTTGTGATACCTCACTTCAAAGGATGGGCTCAAGCTCTATCCAGGGTAATATAAGAGGTGCTAGTTCACCATTGTTTTTTATAGTTGAGTAGTATTCCATGATACACATATACCACATTTTATTAATATAATCATGTATTGATGGGCACTCGGGTTGATTCCATATCTTTGCAATTGTGAATTGTGCTGCTATAAACGTTTGAGTGCAGATGTCTTTTTTATAGAATGTCTTTTTTTTCTTTGGGTAAATACTCAGCAATGGAGTTGATGGATCAAATGGTACTTCTACTACTTGTAGCTCTTGAGACATCTCCAGACTACTTTCCAAAGAGGTTGTACTAGTTTGCAGTCCCACCACAGTGTGTGAGTGTTTCTATCCCTCCACATCCACACCAACATTTGTTGCTTTGTTACTTTTTGATAAAAGCTGTTGTCACTGGAGTTAAGTGATGTCTCATTGTGGTTTTTGATTTGCATTTCCCTGATGATTAGAGATGTTGAGCATTTTTTCATGTTTGTTGGACATTAGTCTATTTTCCTTTCAAAAGTTTCTGTTCATGTCCTTTTCCCACTTTTTAATGGGGTTGATTTTTTCATGCTGATTTTCCTGAGCTCTATATAGATTCTAGTTATCAGCCCTTTATCGGTTGTGTAGCATGCGAATATTTTCTCCCATTCTGTATGTTGTCTGTTTGCTCTTGTGATAGTTTCCTTGGCTATGCAGAAGCTTTTTAATTTGATCAGGTCCCATTTATTTATTTTTGTTGTTGTTGTGTTTACCTTTGGGGTCTTCTTCATAAATTCTTTGCCTAGGCTGATGTCCATAAGAGTTTTTCCAACATTTTCTTCTAGAACTCTTATGGTTTTTCGTGCCTTGGGTTTAAGTCTGTTATCCATAGCGAGTTGATTTTTGTGAAAGATGAGAGATGTGAGTCCTGTTTTGGTCATCTACATGTGGCTATCCAATTTTCCCAGCATTATTTATTAAATAAGAATTCTTTTCCCCAGCATATATTTTTGTCTGCTTTGTCAAAAATCAGATGGTTATATGAGGAGAGTTTTATATCTGGGTTCTCTGTTCTATTTCATTGGTCTGTGTCTTTGTTCTTGTGCCGGTACCAAGTTGTTTTGGTTGCCATAGCCTTGGAGTATAGCTTGAAGTCTGGCAAATTGATGCCTCCAAATTTGTTCCTTTTTCTTAAGTTTGCTTTGGCTATATGGGGTCTTCTCCAGTTCCATATGAAATATAGAATTATTTTTTCTAGATCTGTGAAAAATGATGTTGGTATTTTAATAGGGATTGCATTGACCCTGTATATCACTTTGAGTAGTATAGACATTTTAACTGTGTTGAATTCTGCCAATCTGTGAGCATAGGATGATTTTCCATCTGTTTACATCCTCTGCTATTTCTTTGTCAGTGTTTCATAGTTCTCCCTGTAGAGATATTTCACCTCCTTAGATAAATATATTCCAGGAGGTCCTAGCCAGAGCAATAAGACAAGAGAAGGAAATCAAGGGTGTCCAAATGTTGGAGAAGAGGTCAAACTTTGCTGATGATATAATCTTATATCAAGAAAACCCAATAGAATCTTCCAAGAGACTACTGATTAATAAATTTAGCAGTCACAGTTTACAAACTCAATATATACAAATCAGTAGCATTCATATATGCCAACAACAGTCAAGCTGAGAACCAAATTAAAGACTCAGTACCTTTCAGAATGGACATTCTAATGACATCAAACTATTTGGAAATACATTTTTTGAGTGTGTGTTTCGTTACTGTGAGGTATAGCTGGTTCTGTCATAAATCTGTCTTATGAATGATTGTGTATAAATATTCTTTACCAACAAGATTTGTACCGTGACTGAGCCGTCTCTACCCATGACACAGGCACCTCCTAACAAACCTAGAAAACACATGAGTACTTGAATTTGTGCATGTATGTTTGTAGCAGCTCTATTATCCAAATATAAAATGGACACAGTGATTTGATAATTATTCTCCTATTCCTCCTCTTCTTCTTCTTTGCTATTTCCTGGCTGTCTGAGATGTAAAGATTTGTATAACAATAACTGTAACATATCAAGCACTTATTATGAGCCATATACTGTGTCTCTCTTCTATCCCTACCACCACTTCATAATGACTTAATCATCTTAAGTGTTCTATGCTTGTTTCCTCATCTGTAAAATGCAAATAATAATACCTTTTTAGAGAATTGTTTGAAGATTAAATGAATTGATACAGGTAAAACATTAGTTCTTGGCATTTGATAGACACTCATTAAATATGTTACTAAAATTATCATCATCATTATTTCACAATGACCCTGCAAAGTTGATACTACTATTATCCCAACTCCATAGATAAGACAAATGAGGCTTAGAGGCTTATGTTACTTGCCTAGTATTTCACAGAAAATAAATAGAAAAACTGAGATTCAGTCACATGTTATCTCATGACAGAACCCATGCATTTAATCACCACCTTGCAACACCAAAATATGATGAACATTTCTAGGTTACTTCAACAATTCAAAACTATTTATTTAGAGCCTTTTGTATGCCAGATAATAGTGTATGCACTTGGAAAACAACAGTGCAAAAATTAAAACAGACAAGAATCTCTGTCCTTGTGAAGTACAATGAAACCAGGGCTTTACTGATATATAGGAACTGAATAGTTGAAATAAGGGTTGCCCTAAAAAACATACATACATGCACTCAAATAGCAAATGCAAATTGTGTACACCTACTTGTGCAAGATACCAGGCGTGTGTACTTGAAGTAACCTTTATACCTGCTTACTGCTCTTCACTCGATTCACTTTTTTTTTTTTTTTTTTTGCCCATTGCTGCTATTTGTGAGTATCTCCCACTCCGCCAGGGCCAGCTGATACCCATGGTATGCACTGAGTCCGTGGGCAGCCACGGGGGGCTGAAGTGACCCCATGGAAGAGATACACAGTGTGCCCAGGAGGCCAGAGCCAGTGCTGTCAGAGCTGTCCTGGCATGAGACAGGCCAGCAGGCACAGGGATGATCTGATATAACCCAGGGAGCCCCCAGGCTGGTGGAGAAGGCCACCTTGGCAGGCCCTGGCTACACATCAGGCCTGTCATTTGTGGGGAAAGCAGGTGTGATGTTGCGTCCCACTGCAGAGGCAGCAGGTGCTGGAGTCTGGGTGTCCCCCCACCCCACCCAACCTGGCTCTAGCTCTTGAGCTGGTGAGGAGTGAGCCCATTCAGTCAGGTCGCCCTGGGCCTTACCCTCTCAGTCATTCTCTCCATGTCAAATAGTGGCCCAAATAAATGGGCTTTGGGTGTGGTTAGACCTCTGGTAGCTGTAGCTTCAAAAATAAAGTAGCCTGAATATCCACTAGAACTTAAATCAGTCCCTTTCTTATTTCTAGCTAGTTGCCTCCTCTGTAAATAAATCGGGAACAGGGAAGCAGTGGAAGAAGATGGGCTTTTTTCTTTTCTAATCAGTGCATCTATTAATACACCAGATCCATTACTTCTTATTTGTGTCACATTTAAAGTGGCTTCATCTTAACATTGAGTTTTCTCATCTGTAAAGAGAGCAGAATAATACAGATAGTTGGCGATAGTTGAGGTAAATGAACGACATAACAAATGCGAAGTATCTGGTAAATACCCGATAGAGAGAAATTTGGCTTCTCACATTTGGGGAGAAGAATCATCTGGAGAAAGAGGAGACCAAGTCACGGGCTGACTGTGAACGCTTACCCGTCTGGTGCCCTTCCTCCCGCAGGGTGTCGGACTGGTGGAACCCCGCCCTGCGGAAACGCATGCTGAGCGACAGCGGGCTGGGGGTGATAACGCCCTATTATGAAGACTCGGATATGAAGGACCTCAGCCACTCCCGCGTGCTACAGTAAGAGCGCTCTCACTGTTCTTTCCCCTGTGCCACTGTGATACTGGGAGAGGATCCTACCATGGGCTGTTCACTAATGGGAAGGATGCTCTTTTCACTGGGGCTGAAGCTGTCTCATGGAGGTGTCACTCTGTGGTTTGACATTGTATGCACCTTGCTCGCATCATCTACCCCAGACTCCTGATGGGGCTTCACCTTTAGTGTCCCCTGCCCCTGAGCAGCCTTGAGCCCATGGAGAAATGCTTCAAACCCCACCAGCGTTTTCTTTAATGGAGTCCAGTATTTATCAGATGTCTCTGTTTGCCACATCAGGGAGACATGCAGGAGAGTGATCTTGAGTAGTTTGGAAGTGACACGGCATTTCCCACTCGTGTCAGCGTTGTGGATTGCTGTTTCCTTTGTCTCCCGTCCTGAGCCTGGGCCGCGCACTCCGTGTGATGTCGCCGAGTGGTGTTTTGTTGGCTAGCAGGGGTTGCTGCTTGTGTTGTGGCTGTAGTCTCTGTGGGCGAGCACTACAGCATCTGTTCATAGATCAGAGTAGAAGGTATGTTTTCTTCTGAGGTCTGATGGTGGTCAGAAAGCAGGATGCATGCTGGAGTTTTGCGGCAACGTTGGTACCTTTGTGCCCAGTGAATCCTCCCTCCTGGTCTCCCTCATGGCAGCGGCAGGTCCGGGCGCACCTACTCTTTAATTTCAGGTCAATCACTCCATTTCAGAGGGTATGTGAGTTCAGTGCCATTCACGAAATTAGGCTTGATTTCCAGTCCTATCCGGGGTCCTAATCAAATAGTGACAATGGCTTTGTAACCATGCAGTCTTATCATTTTGACAGACAAACAAGATTACTAAGATTTTTAGAAGCCCAGGGTTAACTGAAGAGGCAAGACAGTGCTTTGTTTCTAAAGGAAGACGGGAAACAATTTCAGTATGACAAAGGGGGAAAAATGAGAAATCTGGAGCTAATTATTTCATTGGCAAAGGTTCTCTTCAGACACCCTGAGGGCAAAAGGAGACTTCATTTTAATTGCTTCTTTGTATTACCTCTTATTTTCTCATGTGAAGAGGGGAAAGGAAAAAATGAATTACTATGGATTTTTTCTTTTTAATTAAACCATGTTGTTAGCTTCTGATGGCATTTTGATTGCTTACAATTCAGGGTATTTTTCCATTTCCTTTTTATACAGAATTGAGGCTTGTGAACCAGGGTGAGTCAGCCACCCGTGGATGGTTAGGAAAGTGGCCATCTATCTGTAGGCAGGCTTATTGGAAAATTAGAGTTTTAATTAGCTGCAGAAATAGAAATTAAGCCCAGACAAACCAGATGAGTGTTTTAGTTGCACTCATGTATAGGCTATTTCCATAAAGTAGAATATGATCTCAATCTATTTCTCTGTCCTGAGTTTTCCACATATAGCACATCAGATGTGCATGTCATGCTATATGAAGTGATTGTTCTAAGATTGTAAATATTCTTCCTAAGAATTACAAATAAACATACCACTTTACATAATGGCCAAGTTCTTAAAACTCTATGTCAAAGTCAACTCTAATTTTTTTTTATTTTTATTTGGGTTGTGTTATCCTTTTAGGGATGTCTCTTAATTTTTTTTTATCTTCAATTGGCAGCTAATTTCTTGGTCAATTGTACTATTTTAGCTTTTAAATGCACTAGAGTAGCTGACTCTTTAAAAAAAAAAATTTTGCAAAATCACTTTGGAAACAAAGTGACATTCAAACGTTCACCCCTACCCTTTGAGTCTTTCCGCTGAATCTTCAGACATTGTGCAACAAAGACAAGTCGTTCCTACAGTGCTTTGTCAGAGTCCCTGACTCACAGACGACACAAGCACAATAAGATGGTTGTTTTAAAGCACTTTAAAAAAAGAAACCCATTAAACTAACCTAAATATCTTACCTCAACTTTTTCACTAGCTCTTTTAGTTGTTAAAATTTTTATGTCCATTAATTCCTTGGGAAGAACATCTTTTTATTTCCTTCAGAGATCATCTTTGATACAAACAGATAATTGCAGCTAAGGAAATAGCTAATAATGTTAGTAATGACTGCCGTTGATGAAATAGCTCCCACTTGCTTTGCACCATAATTAAATTATCTTTAAGTCTTTCAGCAACTTTTAAATTTAGCCATTGCTGGAAAGGCACAGTGGCTCACACCTGTAATCCCAGCACTCTGGGAGGCCAAGGCGGGAGGATCATTTGAGCCCAGGAGTTCTAGATCAGCCTGTGCAATGTATAAGACCATGTCTCTACAAAACAAAAATTTTTTTTAATGAGGCAGGTGTGGTGGCATGTACCTGTAGTCCTAGCTACTTGGGAGACTGAGGCAGGAGGATTTCTTGAGCCCAGAAGTTCAAGGCTACAGTGAGCTATGACTATACCACTGTACTTCAGTGTGGGTGACAGAGCAAGACCCCATTTTGAAAGAAAAAAAATTAGCCATTGCTTAACAGAGGAGTAAACTGAGGTTCATAGAGAGTAAAATATTTATCTAAGTCACTTCGTATGGCAAGCATGGTTTGACCTGAGGTTGGTTTGACTTTTCATTCCATGCTTTTTCCACTGTATTGCTACACTGTCCTCCCAAAGGGACTGTGCAGAGGCAGCATGCCAGAGCCCCAGAAAGATTTACATTGGTTTATATTTTTACTGTTTGTGAAGTGAAAAATTCTACAATATGTAGGTACTACATATGCACATTAAATAGATCAACTGCAGACTTACCCCAAAATTAATATGGCTAAGAATGAATTTTAAAGCAATTATTTTTGCTTCCCAAAACAATTTTAAACAAAAATAATTGCAATAGATTTCAATTTAAAAATTATTAAATATCTATTAAATATGCTACCATCCAAGTAAATACAAAAATTACATAGAAGACACTCATGCATGTACCAGCCACCCTGATTTGTCATGTTGTTGTTTAGCTATATTTGCATTAGGTCTTTCTCTCAATCCATAAACAAAATAGAGCAGTATAAAAACATATAATATTGTGTTATGGTTTTGTTTTGTATTGTACAGGTTGAGTATCCCTAATGAGAAAATCTGCAATATAAAATGCCCCCAAATTAGAAATTTTTTGAGGGCCAACATGATGCTCAAAGAAAATGCTCATTGGATTTCAAATTTTCAGATTTGGGATGCTCAGCTGATAAGTATAATGTAAATATTCCAAAATTTAAAAAAAAAATCCAAAATCTGAAACACTTCTGGTTCCAAGAATTTTGGATATGGGGTACTCAACTTGTATTATTTTTTTTTTATTACTTGTGTTGCACCACAGATATACTTTTGGAACTTTCTATTTCATTCAGAATCATGTTTTTGAAATTCATCCATATTGATACATATAGTTTTGAATAATTTTTAGTACAGAATATTGCATCACAAGTATGCCATAGATTATTTCTCCATTTTAACATTGCTCTGTAATATTTCACTAATTTTCAAAATGAAGCAAACATACTGGTACACATGTCCTTCTGTGTTGCAAAGTATAAATGCAATTCATCTTTACTTGATATTGCAAAATTTACCTTTCTACCCAGAATATTTAAGAATCAGTATATGAGAAGGGCCTGGAGACTTACTGTAATATTCTAGGTACAATTGGCATCTATAGGTTTCAGATTTAAAGCTCCAGTCAGCTTGGAATTAGGAAAAGTTCAATTTTAACATTCTGTTGACTGTGCCAAAAAGAGCCACTCTATAAAAAGAAATCAGAAGGGAAACTTTCAATTCTTAGAACTGAAAATATTACTTATCAGAATTTTCAGGACATAGCTAAAGTGGTATTCAGAGGATAATTTATGACTCTAGAGTCATTTATCAAGGGGAAAATGATTATGTACAGATAAAGCATTCAATGTGATAAACTAGAAGAAGGATCCCAGAATAAAGAACAAAGAAACAACAGGGGAGAAGAATAATAAAGACAAAAACAAAAACTAATGACAAGGAGAATAAGACAACAAGATAGATGATTAACAGGAATAAAATTTTACAAAATTGATTCTTTGAAAAAACAAATAAGAGAAGCAAAATTCTGAGAAGACATTTTTAAAAGTAATGATATGGGAAACAGAAAGGAATATGACTACAGTGCCTTCCCCATTTTACCACCCTAGACCCAGAACATCTGTGCCAGGCAGCCCCTTTCCCTCCAGATTCTAACTGACCCACCCCCCTGGGTCTCCTCAGGGTCTTCCTGTAGTTTTAAACTTCAGTTTCTTAGATCCATCAATCTCCGACCTTCAGGGTGAGGGGAAATGAATAAACAGGCTGAATTAGATTTCTATCATTACTAGAAGTGGCTACATTTATATTAAATGTTTCCATTTAGAAACATCATAATTTTTAAGGAAGATACATACATGCTTACTTACATGCAGATCCTCTAGGAGGGACTGCCATTGCAAAGAATGGCGTACAATGCGAATAGTGTTTTCAAAGCCTATAAACACAGTGAAAACAATCTTTAATAATCAATTTTGAAATAAATTGGTGAGAGGTGGTTGACTCACATTATTACTGGTAGGACCATAATGAATTTGTCTTTAAGTTTAAAAAAAAATGTTTTCAGCATCTGAGAAAGTTCTATTTAAAATAACATGATTCCAGAAAGATGTTTGCTCTTATCATTAATTGTAGCACCACTTTTAGTGACAAGACTATATTTCACTCTGGCAGAAGATTAATAAGGAGAGAATTAACTTAAGTTTTAGCAGGCAGAATCTATTGAGTCATAAGGAAGGACTTGCCCCACTTTAGAGTCTATGAGATAAGAGAATAGGCACTGAATGAAAACTGTCATACATTCTTTCCTAGTTTTCTTTTTCTGAGCTGGGTAGGTTAAGGGCAGGCAGGTTAAAGAAACTGGGAGATAATTGCTTTGTGTTCTGAATTAGGATGACTTTTTTCCCAGTTCTCAGATTTTTGGGGTTTATGAGAAAGTCCCAAATTGAAAAGATGTACTTG